TTGACGTCCCGCCGGCGGTGGCTCTCGCTGGTGTCAGGGAGTAGCTCTTGGCAGGTCGCCTCGCCGCGGGGAAGGCAAGGGGGCGGCCGCGGGGGCTCCCCTCATCTCTTCACGGCAGAGGGCGGCCGCGGGGGTTCTCCTCTGAGGGCGAGGGGTGGCCGACAGGCGCTCTGCTCCTCGCAGCAGCCTCTTGACAGCCACAAGGCCAAGAGGGGGAGCCGGCCGTGGTCAAGAGGGGGAGCCGGCCGTGGCTGGCAGGCTGCGGGACCCTCCTGGGCACCGTCTGTTACTGTCAGTATTTTGTTATTTCCTAGTGTAATTTTGTGGGTGTTGGAACAAAACGTCTTGATTTTGTACAAATCAATCGCATTGATCTGGCAGACGTGTCTTTGCTTTGCCCCATTTCAGCAGGCTGACTGAGAGAGATGGCGGGGGGCAATCACAGAAAGATGGTCCCTGCTTTTTCCAGAGAGCGAAGTTGTCAGCAGGATGGAAAATTAGCATGGTCACTGCAACATCCACTGTTCTAATATGTCTTTGTTAAAGCAAAATCTTGGGCGTTGTGCTCCTCCCAGACAAGGGCTGGGAAATTGTAATACGGCTTGTGGTGGCAAGCAGCCCTGAAATGCTGTATCAGATGAATGTTAGAGGCATTCTTCTAGCCATCAAGTAGTGTCGGGCTGTCACAGACACAAAGCTTGTGAAGAGCTGTTCTTCCTTCTACTTTCTTCCAATCTTCTGTTGCACCTCAAGTCATTTATCCCACCAGCAGTACAAAGCAGCAGAATATCACCACTTCCACTCCTGCACAGATGCATTATCAGGACAGCTATCAGCTATCACATCCGTATTTAGCAAAACCCCAGGTGTAGCCCGTATCTGCCAAAAGGCCCAAAACCGCATCGTAAGTATGAATGACAGACTTCAGAAATGAGGAAGACCTGTGAGAGAGTCCCAGAGTCAAAAATGGCATTTAGCCTGAACTTTCTGCTGCTTCTGCTTACACCTCTTCCCTTAACTGCGTAAAATATATTTCCGTCCTTACTGCTTACTCTATTCAAACATTTCTTCACTGTTCCCATGTCCCCTTCTTACTTCATATGTGATGCTATACATGACTGTCCATATGCCTATGTCCATACGTGACTTTGTCAGTGCACAGGTTCTTAGCATAACTCGCTGAGGCAGTTCAGCTTCTGGTTTCAATGGCTTTGTTTTGAGGTTACGGTAAAATCGCATTTGACCCTCTGACTTCTCTGTGACTTTTGGCTGACCCAAGTACTTCAGAATTTGGCTGATGAGGATCAGTATTTCTACGGTATAATAAAACCTCCCAACTACTAATTGTTGTGTTGAATCTTTTGTGAGCAAAATCCAATGTGCCATTGTCTTTTTGGTAATGTGGAGCTAAATGTAATTTGTTGCTTAAGAGCAGGATTCTCCTTTGCTATGATGTCAGAATACCCCTCAGTGACGCTAATGAATTCTAGCCACCATCAACACAGGGATTAACTGAGTGAGGGGTCTGGTCCAGGGACCAGCTAGTTTCCACCCTGGGGCAACAACCATTTGTAGTCCCTTCCTGTCCCTTCTGAGGGCCAGGCACTGATTTAATTAGCTTTACCTAAAACTGATGATGATTTTAAGAGCTTTTTCAGTAAACAGAAGTTCTCCCTGGACCTAGTAACCTTTTCTGGCTCACAAAACCATCCCCTACTTGTTCTTTCAAAGCCAGTGAAAGACTGTTGTGTGGTGTTACCAGCTTTGTATAAAACTAAGCTTATGTTTGCAGTAGTAAAGAAAGAAAAGTAGATAGGCCAGTGCTCCTAAGTAAACGCATAATGTTTAAAGCACGCACGAGAACAGGTACATCATCCAGTGCCAATAGGTGAGCAAACATATCTACTCTATAATTAATAGAAATAAGGGATTTATTTAATAAGTAACATAAAATAAATATAAAATATTTTCCTCTGACAGGGGACAGACAGTGCTCTTTATTAAACTCAGATTGTTTTAAAAAGGTTCTATATGTGAAATCATTAGCAATTAAAGTAATTTATAGGATGGAAAGATTAATCCTGGCAAGCAAAGAGAAATTGTGTTGTTTGAACTGTTCACTCATGCAGCAATAAAACAGACAAATCCTTTTGCTTTATAGAAATATTTTTCTATACTTGGAGGTTGGTGCTGTGCCTGTTTACAAAGTCCACACCTCGAATACTGTGTTCAGTTTTGGGGCCCTCACTACAAGAAGGACGTTGAGGTGCTGGAGCGTGTCCAGAGAAGGGCAACGAAGCTGGTGAGGGGTCTGGAGAACAAGTCTTATGAGGAGCGGCTGAGGGAACTGGGGTTGTTTAGCCTGGAGAAAAGGAGGCTGAGGGGAGACCTCAT